CAGCATCCCCCCCCAGGGGTGCAGGGCAGAGGGGTGCTCACGCACCAGCACCCATCCTGCTCAGCCCAGGGGTGGCTGGGAGGGGACAGGTTCAGCGGTGGTGTGGGATTTCTCAGCAGCAGAAAGCTGGAGCTGGTTCCAGCTCAGTGCTGGCTGAGCTTGGGGATCCTGGTGGCTCTCACCCAAGGACTGTCACCTGCTTTGCAGCGGTTTCATCCGGATGCTTTTCCCAGAAAAGCTTGATTCTGACAAAAAGGGGCGACCGACAACTGCGGGCTCCAAAATCAAGGTACATCCTGCTGGCTGCACTGCCTCTGGGGCAGCGGCAGGGTGATGGGCTCCCACCAATGCCTTTAACGCTCCAGAGCTCGGTCCTTGCAACAGAAACAGGCTAACGACCTGGTGAACACGCTAATGAAGTGCACGCCACACTACATCCGCTGCATCAAGCCCAACGAGACCAAGAAACCCCGGGACTGGGAGGAGAGCAGGTAACAGAGACCCCTCGCGATGTATCGGGGTGCCCACAGAGCCCAGGGAACAGGACCTGGCCGCGGAGATGCGGCCAGGAGTGACTTTCCTCCAAAAAACAAAAGAAAGAAAAAAAATTTCTTCCAAAAAGGAAGAAATGTTTTCCTGGAGGGGGGGGGTGATGCGGCAGTGGCCCAGGGTGCCCAGAGCAGCTGTGGATGCCCCATCCCTGGAGGGGTTCAAGGCCAGGCTGGATGAGGCTTTGGGCAACCTGGGCTAGTGGGAGGTGTCCCTGCCCATGGCAGGGGGTGGCACTGGATGATCTCTAAGGTCCCTTCCCACCCAAACCAGTCTGGGATTCTATGATTACATGAACCCCCCCCGGGCTGGTCTCTCTGTGCTGCCCCACAGCCCCAGGGGAGCAGGAGGTGGGTGCGGGGACACACACGCCTCCCTGCGTCCATGACCCAGAGGCTCCAGCCCCAGCGAGCTCTCACGAGCGCAAGGCCAAGGGCATCTCCATGCAAAGCAGCTGCCGAGGGATCTGGGCAGGTCCCCCACCAATGCCACCCCACGTCCCTCCCCACTGCACAGGGTCAAGCACCAAGTCGAGTACCTGGGGCTGAAGGAGAACATCCGGGTGCGCCGGGCAGGTTTCGCCTATCGCCGCCTCTTCCAGAAATTCCTGCAGCGGTGAGTGACCACCAGGAGGGGGGATGGCGGGTCCCCACAGCCCAACTGTGACTCACGTCCCCTTGTCCCTGCAGCTACGCCATCCTCACCCCCGAGACGTGGCCGTCCTGGCGCGGGGACGCGCGGCAAGTGGTGCAGGACTTGTTGCGC